CAACTATGAGACGACGACGACTGCACAAGTAGAGGGATAAGTAGAAGATGGAGTAGATTGAGAAGAAGCAAAGCAAATAAAATTCGAAAAAAAAAGGAGAGAGAAAAATTTTCGAAAAAAAAGAAAGAAAGAGAAAAATAGATTGAGAAGAAGAGGCGAAGGAGAGAGGCTAGATAAAAAGAAGCAAGGAGGGAGGAAGAAGAAAAGAATTAGATGCAGAGAGAGAAGAAAAGTCTAAAAAATAATAATAAATTCACTTTAATATGTTTTAAAAAAATCAAAAAATATTGAAAAATATTGTCCTTGTCCAAGCATACACCAAATGTGGCACAAGTGTTAACTAGCTTAGGCCAAGCCAAGCCAATCTAAGACAGTCCTTGATCATAGTCCATGTCAATACAACCCTTCGTAATGAATGAGCCCTAAGAGTTTAGCCAAGCCTAAAATCTAACAGTCTAATAAGGTAAATCTAGCTCATCCCAATTTGAAATCCTGAGTCCGTCCTTGTTTGATTTCTGACAAAATCTGTGTGTTTATCTCTCAGGCTATACATGAATGATGATATGAATGTCCTCTATGAATTTGATGTATTTAATACATAATTAGGGCTTGTGTTTATATAGAGTGGCTAATACTTGTTCCAACAGGTGTCTGATAAGGACAAACCCAATCAGACAAAAACGTTATCTGATATTTGAATTTTAAAAATAATTCAAATAAATAATTAATTAATTAACTCATATTTAATTAACTAATCGAGTTTAATTAAATATATAGTAATTAACCATTGACTCAACTAATTAGGCATTGACCAAAAGGCCAAACCCACAAGCCACTCAATTAGGCCACTTACATAGCCCAATCCAAACTATTCTATTTCCAAGAGTAAGTCTTATAAAGACCTCCAAGGAACTCTGTTTTCCAATGTGGGACTAATTTCAACTTAAATATGTTTGCAATACCTTGCAAAACCAACAATACCCCACATTTGAGTTGAAATTTGTATTCAAACACCTGACATACCCCAAATTTGAATGGAAATTTAAATGCAAATGATGCTTGGACCACCTAAGAGATAGTAGAAATGATATGCATCAGGAGAAGTGTCTTTTGGACTTGAACTTACCCTAGTGAAAATATATCGGGTCCACTCAATGACGTAGTGGATATAATGAACTTGAATTGTTCACCACTATTAGTAAATCTAGACAATATATCTCACACATATCAAATCTGATACACGTCAATTCATACATTTGTGTTCATTTTGGCCCTGAACAAATCCCAGTTTTCTTAAGAGCTTTAGAGAGTTTTAGCCATATCAACTCTCAAAAATACAACCCCACATTTACTCCTATATAGGTGACATTAATTAAGAATAGTCTGCCATATTGAATTGTCTTTAGACCCATTCTCCTCGATGCATACAGTGTTTGCTATCTTGATAGGACTTTTGTCGAAGGATCTACTATATTTTCCTTTGACTTTACATAATCAATGGATGTTACTCCATTTGAGAGCAACTGTCTAATCGTATTGTGTCTTCACCTTATATGTCTAGACTTGCCATTATAGACACAGTTTTTGGCTCTTGCTTTGGCAGCCATACTATCATAGTGTATACAAATGGCAATCACAAGCTTGGACCATAATGGAATATCCTCAAGGAAGTTTCTAAGTCATTCATCTTCTTCAGTTGCTTTATCCAAGGATATAAACTATGATTCCATTGTTGAACGTGCTATACACGTCTGTTTAGAGGATTTCCAAGACTAAGTCTTATAAAGACCTCTAAGGAACTCTAATTTTTCAATGTGGGATTAATTTAAACTCAAATATGTTTGCAATGCCTTGCAAAACCAACACATATTATTAGTGGCCAATGACTATAAGCACCAGAGGGGGAGTACCTCTCGCCTATGGAAAAGGGCTCCCTTGGGGAGGCTAGGCAGCATGGAGCGTAGTGGCCAGCTAGATGGCAAAAGCCCAAAGAGGATTACGTGGAAAGTAATTGTGATGGTGCTTGGTCTGGTGCAATGATGGTGGGAGGCTTCCGATAGGTGCTAAAGGAGACAAATTTGGCGGGTATCTTTTGGCTGGAGGGGAAGAAGGTTATGAAAATGTGTTACTTCTATCCCAAATTAGGATTGACATCATGAAAATTAAAGCAAATTATGTCATTAGAATTAGTACCAAAAAATCTTCCAAATTCTTTATTGCACGATTAAATTTGAACTTGACAAAAAAGGGGCACTAAAAGATATAGTGTATAACATTGAAAAAATTAACTTAATTTATAACATGTGTAAATAAAATAAGAAGTTATCATAGATATTACATTATTTTGATTAAGTATAAATTAAAATTAGAGAGTGCATCAATTAAATCTTCAAAAAAGAAAGGCATAGGCAGGCGAGCCTTAGGCGGGCCTAGGGTTCTAGGTTTCTAGGCTCTTATTTGTCCTAATAAGTGATTGGGCCTAACTTCTGTTGAATAAAATGCCAATTTTCTCATTGGGCATAATTTCATTTGCTTCTTTCCAAAAACAAAAGCCCACAATATTCTGAATTAGCTGACAAATGCTTCCACTTTAGAAATTAGAGCACTTGTTATTGCAATGTTGACATTCCAAAAGCAAAGCACAACGTCGCATATAATAAAAAGGCGACATATAAGGCCTAAGTTCGATTCTCGATGTCGACAATCCATCTTGGTGAGTAATCTGTAAATACCAAAAAATAGGCTAAGAATCTCTCTATAAATCCTTAAAGAGACCTTAGTATCCCCATCCTAGCCTCCCTTCTCCCTAAACATTTTGTAACCCAAAAAAAAACAAAAGGTGACATATAAAAAGTGCCCAAAATTTAAGGTACCATACATATATAATAGCCATATATAATATATTATTCTATATATGTGGTAGCTTTCAAGTTTCAACTTTGAAGCCCTTCAAAAGGTGGTCCTCCTCTTGCATAAAGGGCCGTTGAGAATATAAATCACTTGCTTGCAGTTTATTTTATGTGATCTTCAAAAAAGAACAAAGACCAAAGTTTTCTGACAAAGGTTTCAAAGAACTTTTTTGGATCAACAATAGGGTTCACATGACATAACTTTATAACTACTGGTTGGCATTATTAAATTTGTAAAGGTGTGGATGTTGTTGGAGTAGTTGTTGTTGCCTCTAAATTAGCTAATGGTTGGCAATATTAAATGAGTGGCTTATTTTCTTACTTTACAAGCTTCGTCAAGTGTTTATTTATTTATACAAATGATATTGGGGAAGAGAAAATTCAATACGAGACCTCTAACTGAGAGATAAATATTTTTAACTACTTAACTATAAATTCTGGATCAATTTTTTCTTTTGTTACATTTGAGGAAATAAAACTTTTGACCCTCTTAATATATCCGTTATTCTGGATTCCAAATCTCTACATTTAAAGATTGTGCATTTATCTGTATTTCACACAATTTTGATCATCCTACAGCCATGGTATGTACCTTATTCCTTCTTTGGAGTGAAACATAGAAAACATAAAATAGATAGAGAGGTTGCAGGCAGTTTCAATATTGTTTAAGTTGAAGAATAAAAAACGCTGACTTTTCTTTTTCACACACAAACGCACAGTTTCAAGCGGCAACATCTTCTTTTAACACAAATGCAAACGACGGGAAGTTGCAGGCAAAAGCAGAACAAATGAACGACCTATGGAGCATTTCAGCGAAGTCGCCCACCAACATTCTAAGGGGTAAATATCAGAGCTTCCATGGGGGATTTATGGGACCCCGTTTGTCCCTAAAAAAAAACAAAAACACAACAAAACAAATGCAGTAAACGTGAGGAAAGTCGTCTACTCCCTCCACCCCAAAAGTAGACTTAAAAAAATGAAAGGAAACTTTTATGTGGTCACCTTTTGAAATAGAACATCATGTATGCAGTGTGGTATGTAAATGGATTTGTTCATGCCTTCTATAGTCTTTGGGAAACAATAGTTCCTCTTTTATTTTAGACATAAACCCACTAAATTATTAACTTTTATGAAAAAGCTCAAATTTCAAATTTATAGATTATGTACCTTTTTTTTTGTATATAAATTTTGGGATTGCATTCATAATTTAACCAAAAAAGCCACTAGTCACAAAAGGTCAATACAAACTAGTCTCAAAGGATCATTACAATAACGGAGCGATCTAACATCAAAATTAAGTACAATCTACCTAAAAATCACACAAGATCGAAGACATTCAGGCACAGGCATCCCAACTAAGATTGCAAACTCATAAAAAAAAACAAAAAAAAGAACAAAAAAATTGATAAAGCTTGAAAAAATCGAGTCATAAAAATACAAATAAAACTCTCACAAAAGAGAGGTGGAAAACTCTCACAAAATGAGAGGTGAAAAACTCTCACAAAAGGAGAGAAGAAAACTACACAAAAAATTCAAAGAGTCTTTGCGACTAAATCCAAATGTAAAGAAACTGCAAAAAGGATGGTGATAGAGATCCGAGTTCGAAACCAAAATGCATGTGATTATGTCATCTACCTTACTTATCAAATCCCTTATTTTAGCATTTATATTTGATTCCTTTTCATTTGGGAACCTATTCAATAATAAAACGTTTCAACCTAATAAATCAATGAACACACCAATATACATATATAATAATTTAATACACTTAATACATATGTTCAATAATAACATTATAACTAAACAAACAATGAAAATATACATAATACAAATTAATATTTTTCACCTAAAAATATTAATTAGGTCATTGTCCCTTGGAAAATTATGATGATATATGCAAAAAAAATTAAAAAAAATTAAAAAAACCTACATATCTAATGATAGGTAAATAGATACATATTTATGTAGAAAAAATAAGTACATTATTTAGATATAAAAAGATAGGTGCCTAATTCATAAACTAAAATGAAAAGATAGGTACATTATTTACACTTATATTATATAGGTAAAAATATATCCACGGCTGGTGCTATGAAGAAATTCAATCTGTTATCAACTAAGTTATGGCAATCGATCGAGTCGTGGATATTGCCAAGAAAAAATGTTATATCTTTCTCATTGGCAAGTTTACCACGTTCATTAGAAAGGTTAAGCCTGGCTCACAGCAGTGTAGCAGAAATTCCTAGTGATCTTGGTGCCCTATCGTCATTGAAGCATTTGGATCTATCTGCAACCCCAATTCTGAACCTGCCAGGAAACATGAAGGGTCTTATTATGCTCCAGACTCTGCTGGTAGAAGGTTGCGCAAAGCTCCAAACGCTTCCAGAACTCCCAGCCAGTTTAAACTCACTGGAAGCAGGTCATTGTACATCATTGAACAAAGTAACAAATTTTTACCAAACATTTTCACATCAATGAGTAAAAATCTTTGGGATTGCAATGAATTAGTTGAAGTAGAAAGCTTGTTTGAAATGAAACCATTGAGAAACGTTAAGATAGAAATGATAAAAAATATGGGATTGTTCAATTTGGAATCCAACGAAAGCTCTGAGATCGAAATGATGAACTACTTGACAAATACAATCAAGAAGTGTCGCCTTCAGGTTCTCTCTCTCTCTCTCTCTCTCTCTCTCTCTCTCTGTGGTAAAGTTGTTATGATTATAATTTGTATGACAAAGGGGCTAGCTGTTCAAATAATTCGAAAATTGGATTGTTATCCTCAGAGAAGATTATTTTATGTTCGTAGGTTATATTAATGTAAAAAAATCAATCTTGATCTTCTCCAAGATTGAAACACAACTGCTAGCTTGTAATTGTTGGGTGTCCATATATATATATATATATATATATATATATATATAATCACTTAAATCTGATACCACTTGACCAATATATATGATTTGCATGAAACAGGGACTGAACGAATGCGGCATATTTAGCATCTTCCTTCATGGGAGCAAGATTCCAGATTGGTTCAGCTACATAAGCATAGGTAACTCGGTGATGTCGATTGTTGTACCTTCAAATCCTAACGTCAAGATTCGAGGCTTAAACGCATGCGTTTTATATGCACGACGCCCTGATCATAAGGGTGGTGAACGTGTTGCCAGTGAACACTTTGTTAAGGTGAGCAATGAGACCAAGGGTCGCATGTGGACCTATTCCCCTGAGGCAATGGGTCTTCCAAGAGAAAACCAAGACATGTTATGGCTGAGCCACTGGAATTTCGGGGACGATGAGTTGGAAGGCGGGGAAGAACTACGTGTTTCGGTGAATTCGGGTTTGTGGGCAAAGGAGTTCGCGATCCAACTTGGGCATGAAGAAGAAAATAAGGGTAAGGGTGTTGGATTGAATGGTGAAGATATAGTAACACTTCCTTGGAACCAAAATGTTGTTAAGGCTGGAGATGTGCCAGGATCAGTTTCAGCATCAAAATATGAGATGTGGAAGGGCAAATACTTTCTATGCAATCATAGATATCGAATTCATCAAGCTCAATTCAGAAGGTGCCAGGCGAACTCAGCTTATGGTGACTATTCATACAAGCCAGGGGCCTCCTTTTATTTGACTAATTTCTTATTTACCCATGAGGTTGATATTAGTGAGAAGAAGGTAAGTTACAAACGCATTCACTAATTAAACCTATCTAATTTAGGTATTCATTATGTTATTACAATAGTTTACGCAATATTGATATGTAATTAGGTTTTTCTTCTTCTATATTTCTATTTTGGAAATATTGATATGTAATTAGGTTTCTCTTCCTCTATATTTCTATTTTGGTTTTCTTGTGCAAGTTATTTTATTGAGAGACTATTGAGAAGTTATTGAGAGACTCTTGAAGAGTCAATTCACTGTCAGGTTCGTCGAATCAACCCATACTTGTAGATTCCCCAATTCCCCAAAAGTTGAAACCATAGGAAACTTTGAAGAGTCGTGCGAAAACAACCTTTCAGTTCTAGCTCATCAAAGACTCGTGTTGGTCCTTTTTCCCGCTCCCACTCCTTCTGACAGGTGGGAGGTCAGATTGCTCTGTGGAGTGAAGAAGTCGTCAGATCAACACCAATACCATGATTGGATCTTCTTGGCTCTCGAGGAGGATTCTCTTGACTTCTAAACAAAATTGAAAATTGAATTAGGTTGACAGGAGCGGACGAACTCAGGTTGGGCCCTTTCGATATGCTCCTTCTATCCTGATTCGAGAATCGCGTAGTCGTGCCACTATTGGGTATGAGACCAGCCCAATAGACCTGGTGTGAGTTGTGTATCGTGTTGGTTTGTCGTGTTTGCACTTGTTCTGGACCTCTGCTCAAGCCATTATGCTCCAAGGAGGGGATGGGCTTGGATGAGTTCTTTTTTATGCCTCGACTAAGAGGACTTCAATATTATTTCATTCATGTGTATCAGTTTGACAGATATGAGCAATATCTAATCAAATAAGGAGGAAACCAAGATCGTAGTTAATGATACCCTATTTGGGTTGAGAAACCTGGTTCAAATTCAAACAACCCTTAGACAGGGCCAATAATCCAGTCGATTCGGGCCCAATAAGGCAATTCGGGCCTAAATCAACCTTCTATTTTTGGACTAAAATAGCCATATTCGGGCCTGAACCTTTACTTTAGGTTCAAATGATAAATTTAAATAGCACAAGAGCGGGAAATTAAATTAATCTACCAAAACATTTATAATATATAAAAGCGATTAAATGACAGATGTTTAATGGAGCAGTCAAAATAAATTCCAAAATCTCTTTATATAATTTTAACTTGATAGCAAAGGAAAATGAGAGTTCTTAACTTATCCATTTAACTAATTCGAAATATAAATTACACAGCAAGGAAGGACTGTATATTTCTCTATCCAGTCAGATGGGTACATGAATTCAATTGATCATTTAAAGCAAATAATACCATGAAGATAGCAGAGGAACAAAAGATGAACACAGGAGTTATCAACTGGTTATCTGGAAATTAAGCAAGCTGGTTTGAAAAGATCTTGAATGTTTTCAAGTGTTTTTGAGATGTTGAGTCTATTTTGGAGAGATAGTCCTCCTCTTCTGTGGCGAAGGCTTTTTATTTATAGGCATGGAGCGAGCTTCAATGATGAATACTGAAAGAGGATATTTGGCTGCTATCTAAAATCAACTACTGGTCTGTTGATCTGGACCAGTTCATGGGTGGGGTGACAAGATGTTTCTGACAAGACCGGTAGTCCTTAATGATATTCCTCCGAGTTGAGTCCTTTGTACTCGGAAGTCTGGTTAGCAATTCATCTCCTTCTGGTTTTGATGTCTTTTATCCAGCGTGATTCCTTGTTGGGCGAGAAGAAAGTCAAGTCATCATTAATGGAGACAATCTCCTTCAGACCCTCACGTGGGTCAATGTGTAACAGTTACCGATCTTTTAACTTTAGTTTGACTCAAGGGCTTGGGCTTCTTATTTTTATCTATTGACGGCCCACTAAGCAAAAGGGTTCCTTCGGTCTTTTAAAGAAAAGAAAAAGACATTGGGCTTGGGCCTTAAAATTTTGAGAAATATATCATTTTTGGTCCATTTACAAAATATGGTACAAACAACTTGAACTTTAGCTTACTCACAGAATGGACGGTCTTAACCTCACAAAGGTTGCCATATGCCTCTCAAGTGACTAATTTGACGGAAAAATGGATGAAATGTCTACAAAACTGATGGTGGGGGGGAAAATTGACAGTAAAATTTAATTCATGTACTTAATTTTCTTTATAAAAAAAAGTAATAGGATAAATCGAAAATTAGGAACAAATTCAGAGGGCAATTCGGCATATTACTCTTTTTTTCTTTTCTAGGCCTTCAGCCAACTATTAATAATATCCAACCCACCACATAATTGTTCGATAGCAATGACCACTTTGCAGGCTAGCCCAATAATCTACCTATTCCAGTACCACAATATATGTGAATAATGGATCATATGAGACTCAATAATCAGAAATACATGTTAGTTTACTTGTACCGGATATTGAAATTATTCTAATTCTATCTCTATGTTTGTTTACTTGTTTAAATGTGTGTTAAAAGCAGTGGTGATGGCATATAGTAATTACCTATCTTTGGTCACCTAAAATCATGTATAATTTGCTATTCTTTAGAGCATCCACAATGGACTCTCACATCACCTCAATTAACCATAAGCCTAAATAAAACCCACAAACCCAACATGACCGAACCCTAAAGCAACCCATGAGCCTAAATGAACCTTACCACTGGCCACACCCCCCACTACACCAGATCTAGGGAAAATATGATTTTTAACAATATACATGCGCATAATAGCGAACAAATAAACGAAAACAACAACCTTGCCAAAGAAGAACAATTGAGTGATTTGCAGTAACCTCTGTCAAAGATGATGTAGAACCAATAAAAAACATGAGTAGTGTTAGAGAACAGGTTTGGGGAGAAAGATTTGATTCAGAAAATAGCCTAAAAGGGGTGATGGGAAACCTCAATTTGAGCATGGCTCAGAAGAAATCACCACAATGGGTTTACTAAGCACAACTGTTATTTGTGCTCTTTGATGCAAAAAGCACAATTATTCGTGCTCTATACTGATGGCCACAATGTAGCCACTTTAAAATAGTCGGTTTCCTCTATAGGAGTTTCTATTGTAGGGCACGATTTTACTTTTTGGTGTCTTAAACTCAATACTTTTGGGCACTTAAATGGCATATATCCGACAACATCGATTGCTGCTTTTGATTTGACTTTTGTACATACACATAAACCATTCATTTGTGCCCAATGTATTTATTTTTTCAAAAAATAAAATAAAATTAGGGTTGCCAAGCACCGCCACCTCATACATCCTTCTACCATCCAAATCAGCGCCACTTTGCCTCTCTCTCTCTCTCTCTCTCTCTCTCTCTCTCTCTCTCTCTCTCTCTCTCTCTCTCTCTCTCTCTCTCTCTCTCTCCTCTCTCTCTCTCTCTCTCTCTCTCTCTTTTTCAAGTAATGCAAACACAAAGAGCTCACTAAAATTAAAATTTTTAACCAAACTCGCACAAATAAATACAGGATTAGATTTAAGAATTGGGTATAAATGAAAATTATGCAAATGCACAATTAGCTCACTCAAATTAAAACTCAACATCTTAATTCTTACTTTCCATCTTTCAATACAGTCAAGGAAAAATCTCGTCTTACAATTGGAACAGTGAACAACTACAAACTTGTTAAGTTTGTCCTATATAATGCAAATTTTTCATTTTCGTTTATTTCACAAAGAACGCAGTCGACCATCCATAAGAATTTATGGGGGGAGAGAGAGAGAGAGAGAGAGAGAGAGATCACTTCTTTCAATTTACAATTGTTCATGGGATTATTGGGATCGTTGTCTCCGTCTGATCGATCTCTTTGAATTTTCTTATTCTTGGTCATATTATTCAACCACTCCAAGTGCTTTTCATAGTGGGGATGCTGTGGTTGGGGAGGATGGTGAGAAGGATGAGGAAGATGGGGGAGAAGGGAGACATCGGTAAAATCGAAGTAGGAGAATAATGAAGACTCATTTTGGGTTTTTAGAGATAAGAGTTATGGTCTTCAGGAAAGCAAATGATGGAGGAGGAGTATGGGGGAAGGCAAAAGGAGGATAAGATTTTTTTTTCTCCTAAAACGAGGAGTTGATAAATAGAATAAATTATTATTTTTAAAAATATATAAAACCTGAAGGCACAAAAAAGTTTAGTAAATTTAGGTTTTAGCCACAAAAAAACTTTTACTTTTGGAAAAAACCAAAATTTTTCTAAAAAAGACAGAAAAATCCCTCAACTTTCAAACCAAAGACATGCAAATGTAAATGATTTCTTAGGAAATCCAAAAATAAACAAGGGCATTTTTGTCCATTTTGGCTTCTTTTCAAAACATTTCTCTCTCCTTTGGCTTTTTTCAAAATGTTCCCAAAAGTTTTTCGTGTCCTATGGAAAGCACAATTAATCATGCTTTTAAACTATAATAATTACTCTCACTAACAATGAGGTGACAAGATGGAAGTTGATATTAGCATTAAACACAAAGGTCGTTCCCAAATTTCAATATGCACAAATAAATTTGTTCTTAGATATACATTAATTGGGTCTTTTGTGTAAAAGACATCTTTAAGTATTTTTTGTGCTAAATGAGATTGAAAAGGCATAAACCCTTCTTCCATACTCCTTGAAATGTGCCTTTAGAGTAGTTTTGTAGTAGTGGTTTCTTATTCAAAACGTCTTAGTGGACTTATTCACTAATCCAAAAGGAAAAGACGAGAAGAGAGAAGAGGGAGGAGGGGCAGTGACACTTCTTCCTCCTCTCCCTCTATGAAAATTTTCCTTTGGGGCTCACAGAGGGAGAGAGCGGCTAGGGTTATTTATTTATTTATTTTCTTTTTTGGGCTTCTTCCTCCTATTACGTTTTCAAGTTAAACAAATTTGATCTTATACAATTTGATCTAATTTTAGTTTTTATTGAGTCAAATTTGATAATTTTATTTCTGCTAACCGGGTGACCGGAGCCATGAGGGAGAGAGGAGAGAGAGGGAATTCAACTAAGGTTTTGAGTATAAGTTTAGAATTACCTCATGTGTGTTGTGTAGCCATGTATTTATAGAGCTCTTGCCTCCTAAGGTTTGAAGAATAGTCTCAATTTAATTAGGATTATTATTACCAAAAAATAGGAG